AGCATTTTACCTTATCCTATTGTGTGTAGCATTTATAGGTCTAAGTTCTTTTAGAAATTCCAAATCTTAGGCCCATGTTCCTCCCCAACCTCCTCATTGTCCAGTGGAGCTGGCAGTAGATTCGGACGATGAGGAGGTTGGGGAGGAACATGGGCCAGTCCTGGAGTCTGGAGAAGGCTCTGATGAGGGCTCTGTGTTGGAGGCAGAGAGGGGACCAGGGCTGTATGCCAGTTATCAGCTGCCTTCAGAGTCAGACATCAGTGATGCAGACAAAGAGTTGGAACCTGTTCCCAGTGTGCGCATGCGCTGAGTTCCCAGATGAAGGGAACAGCTAAAGAACAGGGGTCGACTTGGGAGTAAGGCCAGATGATGAATGACCCCTCCCAGAGGAAATAAAAGAGGAGCAAAAGGAGAGTGGAGTTTGCAGGAGACAATTAATTCACTTAATTGGTTCGTGATTCTCCGAGACTCCTTGCCAAGTTTTGCAGATATGGGCCTGTCAGCTCTCCAAGCCAGATAAGGTCTGAGACTGTAAATCCTCCCTCAAAAGACTTNTGCTGGCTGGGGGATTCTGGGAGTTGAAGTCCGCAGGACTTAAAGTCGCCAAGCTTGAGAAACACTGACTTAGAATGTTTTTTGCTCTCAGATCCCTCCATTGATGATAGACTTATTTTCATTGGTTTAAAACATTTATCTAGCCGCCTGCCAAGGGCAAGGAACCTAGGGGTAGATCAAAACGGTGTGTATCCTAGCAATGTTCCACATTGGTTGTGTTATCCGAGGTGGCTGGAAGTTGTGATCTGGCAACCTCTGGAGAGCTTCCCATCCGCCCATCTGTTGTTAGTGGCTGATTCTAACAACAGCAATTGGCCATCATTATGGAATGCAAAGTATCAGAGTTTAAAGGGTCCTTGGAGGTCTTCTAGTTCAACCCACTGCTCAGGCAATATCTGTTCTGACCTCTAGGCTTCCCCAGCAGCACGAAGCAAGCTCCTCCTCCCAATAAACCCCTTTTATTTAAGTTACAGTGAATTCCTCTCCAGCAAAGTCCCGGCCCAAAGTCTTTCAAGATAGTTCACAATTACCGACCTTTGTCAGGCTTGGAGAGTGGCCAGGCTGACATCCTTCAGATGCTGCAATACTTGGCAAGAATGCAGGAATGAACTAGTTGTCTCCTGCAAGCACCCCTCCCCTTTCGCTCCTCTTTTATTCCCTATGGGAGGGGCCATTCACTGTCTACTTATGGCCTTACTCCCAAGTCAACCCTTGTTCCTTAGCTGTTCCCTTCGTCTGGCTCCAGGTGTTCGTCTGCCTCACTGATGTCTGCCTCTGAAGGCAGCTGATAACTGGTCCCTTCTCTGGCCTCCCCTCTGCCTCCGACACAGCCCTCATCAGAGCCTTCCCCAGACTCCAAGACTGGACCATGTTCCTCCCCCAACCTCCTCCCTGACCTCGGGCGGGCCACAACAATATCATACTGGACAAATGGCTGTCCAATCTCTTCTTAAAAACCTCGCGTTGGGCCGCCCACAATTTCTGGAGGCAAGCCTGATTACGGTAATTGTTCTCGCTGTCAGGAAATTTCTCTTTAGTCCTAGGTTGGATTTCCTCTTGATTAGTTTCAGTTCGTTACTTTTGTGGTCCTGTTTTCAGATGCTTTGGGGAATAGGTTGCCCCTCTCTTTTCTGTAACAGCCCTTCAAACATTGGAAGACTGCTATCCAGACGATGACCATTCTAATTACTGTGTTTCCCTGAAAATAAGACGGGGTCTTATTTTCTTCTGTCCCCTGAAATAAGCNGACTGTAAATCCTCCCTCAAAAGACTTTGCTGGATGTGAATGAACAGAATTCACAGTCAATTAATAAAAGGCATTTTTGTTGGGACAAGGAGTTTGCTTCATGCTCTTGGGAAGCCTCGGTCAGAGCAGAGATGAATATTCCCACTGGTACCCCTCAAAGTGAAAATTTCAAGGATCTTTATGACAGCCCCCTTTCCCCATAGTGCACCATTGATGGGTTTCATTGTGGCATTTCTCTTCTACTGGCATTACAAATCTCTCCCTCCCACCCTCCTTCTCTCTCTTACACACACACATACACACACACACCCTATCCATAGGAAAACCATTACTTGGATTTTCAATTCCCAAGTCAGCATCAAAGAGCTGCAGAGTTCCCAGGGCCATGAAAACAGGAGCTCACGGCCAAGGATCTGCAGAGAGACTCCTGGTAGCTCCACCACCAAAGCCACAAGAGCAGTGGAGCTCTGTCGGAGGCCCTGACAGAAAGAAATATTGACCATACTGACCAGGAGCTGTCAAACTCATTTGTTGGTGACCTGATCTTAGCAGCTTCCGTTTTGTTCCTGACCAAGCAGTTCGTGCTGAGACTGAGATGTCAAAGTCGAAGGAAGGGGAGGGACTCTGTTGTGTTTCCTTTCTACACTAGAACAGGTGTCAAAGTGGCGGCCTGTGGGCGGGTGCATCACATGTAGGCCACGCCCACCCCAGCTCTGGCGAAGGCAAAAATAGTGTGATTCATCATGTGACATGACATGACGAGTTTGAAACCTATGCACTAGAACAAACTAGCCTGAGCAAGGAGCTTCAATCAATTGCTCTCCAAACAAATTACCAATCCTCTCTCCTCCCTTCCATGGGGCAGGACAGGAGGCCAGTCTTATGGCCAGGCTTCACTAGGAGGGCTGTGGTATGCAAGGGCCCATAAGTAATTGCCAGTTATGTGGGGGAATGGGTAGTGGCACCTCAGCTTCAATGAAGTAAAACAGTGTTTCTCAGCCTTGGTAACTTTAAGATGTACAATTGGCTGGTGGTACTTTTGTCAATGCCAATTAACTACTATGATTGCTTTTCAATGAATTTAAATTTCATTAATTTAAAGGCAAACTTTGAAACGGGAGCGAAGCTTGAGGTAACTCAGTGGCCTTCAGATGAGGCACCCTGCAACTCTCCAGACTTCATGCCAGTTGGTTAGGCTGGCTGAGAGTGATATCTTTTATGGTCTAGCACAGTGATGGAGAACCTACTTTGGCTCGCGTGCCAAAAGCAGGGGAGTGCAGGGGGGTTGTGCGTGGGTGTGCCATACCCATAATGCTATGCGTATGACTCCAGTGTGCATGCGCTCACGAGCAGCACTCCCCCCATTTTTGGAGTGCTTTTTTCGCCCTCCCCAGGTTCCAGAGGCTTTATAGGAGTTTGCGGAGGGTGAAAACAGCCCCCGGAGGCTTCAGGAGAAGCCTCCAGAGTGTGAAAAACCAGCCCTATGGGCAAACCGGAAGTTCAGGAACAGACTTCCAGTTTGCTCATAGGGGCGGTTTTAGGCCTCCAGAGTCTTCAGCAGGCTTCCCTGAAGGCTCCGGAGGGCAAAAAACAACCCTACAAGCAAACCAGAAGTCATTTCCGGTTTATCCGTAGAGCCGTTTTTCATCCTCCAGAGCCTTCAGGGAAGCCTCCTGAATGCTCCGGAGGACTAAAACCGGCTCTATGAGCAAACCGGAAGTATGTTCCCAAACTTCAAGGAAACCTCCGGAAGGTGAAAAACGGCCTCAAAAGAAGGCCAAAGTCAGCTGGCCAGCACGCGCATGACACTCGTGCCATAGGTTCTCCTTCACGAGTCTAGCATCTTGAAAGCAACAGGTCGAGGGACTCTAGCTTGGGATGAAGGGGAAATGAATATTGTTGTCAGTTGTCCAGTTGGCAAATCCAGAAAAAGACACTCCTGGGACATTATTTTATCAAGAATATAAACTTTACTGAATAAATCCACATTGGGACAGAAGATGCAAAACCAGTTCTAGGCTTCCCACACAAGCATACGCCTAGTTCATTTCCTCTTTCCCCACAGTCCACCCACAGTCCATTACATCCACCAATCACTTCTGTCCATTTTGTTTTGGGAACCAGCCGATCACGCTGTGGCATCTGCTCTGGGTGTCCTTGAGGGGGGAGAGCAATGTCTCATGGGAACCAATGATGCTTGGAGGCCATTCCCCCCATCTTTGCATTCTAATCCACCTCCACCACCCCCATTTTTTGTCACTCTGTGAGCAAAAGCGGAATAGAGGTGAAAGTTCAAGTCAGTCTTGACAATTGTGCAATATACACCACCACCACTAAGTCAACATGAATTGAATGTATGTCACATTTGCTTGGAAAATGCATTGAATATTCACAATGGAATCCTTGGGGAATAAAAATCTCTCTCAACAAAAGAGAATTCCGTGTTTCCCCGAAAACAAGACGGGATCTTATTTTCTTTTGACCCCTCCCCAAAATAAGCACTTGGCCTTATTTTCAGGGAGATCTTATTATTTTTGAGGTGCAGGAGACCCCTTAACCTCGGCCCGTGGATCAGCTACTCCAGAGAAGGCCGAAAGTTCTGTCTCTGTTTCTGGCACACTCTTGCCAACCCTACTGTCGCTGGGCCTGCCCCTCTTTCTGCGGCCGCCACTAAGAGAAGGGGAGTGGTAGCTAGGGTTTGCGGGAGTGGCCTCCACGAGGCTGTTCCGCGTAGAGGGCAGCTGCATGTGGGGTACGTGGGGCATGTTCCCTTGTCCCCCCAGGAAATGGTGGGGACCGGCTGCACATGCATTTAAATATTTTAGAGGGGGCTTCTTTTTGGGAGAGGGCTTATTTTAGCGCATGCGCTCAAAAGCCCAATTGGGCTTATTATTCTGGGAGGCCTTATTTTCGGGGAAACAGGGTAGTTGGGGCTCAGGTTGAGCTATGGAGTCTTGTAGTTTGTGTCTGTTTTCTGTTGGTGCTCTCTGAGCTTGTTGGTTTGCTTGCAGACGTTTTATTACCTGACTAGGTGATGCCTTCAGGGCTGGAGGGAGAAAGGGGTCGAACTATTTTAAGCACCAACGTTGTTTTTTTTTTAATGTAAGGGTGCCATGCAAGACTCCCTTCCATCTGCAGTCAGCTGATGTGAGCACTGCCTGGTTAACCATCCGCCTTCCTTCCTCTTGTCTTTGTCCAGCTCTCTGCCTGGTGCTGGGCTGCATGATATTCCCAGATGGCTGGGACTCAGAGACCGTCAGGGACATGTGCGGGGAGAAGACAGGGAAGTATTCCCTGGGCGACTGCTCTGTGCGCTGGGCTTATATCTTAGCCATCATTGGCATCTTGAATGCCCTTATCCTCTCCTTCCTGGCCTTCGTCCTCGGCAACCGGCAGAACGACCTGCTTCTCGAGGAGCTCAAAACAGAAAACAAAGGTGAGTGCTCTCTGCTTTGCATACACAAACACACAGAGACAACGCCTCCCACCCACCCCCCTCCGGTCCATTCTTCATGTGGCTGAAGCCCTGAAGCAGCAATCGTCCAATATTGGAGTAATTATGATAGGTTAGGGACGCAGTGGCTCAGTGGCTAAGACGCTTGTCCATCAGAAGGTCGGTTCGAATCCCTAGTTGCCTCATAATGGAGTGAGCTCCTGTTACTTGTCCCAGCTTCTGCCAACCTAGCAGTTCGAAAGCANCAAAGATAGCAATAGCAAAAGTAGTTAGACTTATATACCACTTCATAGGACTTTCAGCCCTCTCTAAGCGGGTTACAGAGTCAGCATATCGCCCCCACAGTCTGGGTCCTCATTTCACCCACCTCGGAAGGATGGAAGGCTGAGTTAACCCTGAGCCGGTGAGATTTGAACCGCCGAACTGCAGATAACAGTCAGCTGAAGTGGCTAAAGTACAGCACTCTAACCACTGCGCCACCTCGGCTCAGCCGGTTCTGGAGAACCAGTAGTGGAAATTTTAAGTAGTTTGGAGAACCGGCAAATACTACCTCTGGCTGGCCCCAGAGTAGGGTGGGAATGAAGATTTTGCAGTATCCTTCCCCTGCCATGCCCACCAAGCCACGCCCACAGAACCGGTAGTAACAAATTTTGAATTTCACCACTGGGTTTGGGGATGACATCTGAATGAAAATGCATTCCAGGCGTTGACCACTCTGTTGCCGAAGTTGTATTTTCTGCAATCGAGTTTGGAGCGGTTTACCTTAAGTTTTTGTATCTATTGTGTGCTCATGTATTGTTGTGGTTGAAGTTGAAGAATTTATTGACAGGCAGGACATTGTAGCAGATAATTTCATGTATTACGTTTAGGTCAGACTGAAGGCGTCGTAGTTCTGAGTTGTTCAAGCCCAAAATTTCAATCCTGGTGGCATGAAGTATTCTATTGTGAACAGAGGAGTGGAGGATTCTTCTTGGGAAATACCTCTGGACTCGCTCAATTGTATTAATGTCTTCTATGTCGTGACCCGTCAAAACCGCGGTAGACAAAACTGTGCTCGACGAAAGCGCGTACCTGACGTCATCAGCAGCACGATGAAAAAAATTAAAAAATTAATTAAATTAAAATAAAAATAAAATTAAAGCAAGCCGATTCACATAAAGGTAAGGGTTAGGTTTAGGGTTAGGGTTAGGTTTAGAGTTACGTTAAGCGTTAGGGTTAGGTTTAGGGTTAAGTTAAGGTTTAGCGTTAGGTTTAGCGTTAGGTTAAGGGTTAGGTTTAGGGTTAGGTTTAGGGTTAGGTTAAGGGTTAGGTTTAGGGTTACGTTACGCGTTACGGTTAGGTTGGGGGGGGTT